TTGTATGTACTTGATTATAATTTATTGTAATAGACTGGAATGGATTGTAATTGATTGTAATACATTACAAGTTATGATAAATCACAAATCATGGTGGATCACAGAATTAATGAAAATATAAGTAAACAATAGAGAATTAGAACAATCGATTGTTGTTTACATGATCTACGGATTCATAGGAAATTTATTTACAGGAATAAAGTGTTTAACATAAAAGATTGGTGCACAAAAGTCTTTTACTGTTAAAACTCAGAACTCAGAGAGAACTTCAACATTTACAGACAAAAAAAATTTTGATCCACAAATAAACTGACATAGTTGAGTACTTTTTAGATTAAACTGTTCATCTAAACAATTTATGTACTTTTAACTCCAACTCTGCTAGGGTGAGATTTACATATGCAGAGTGGTCATCATTTCTAGGGGAGTCAAAGTCTGTTGCAACTGCTAACAAATGTGGCTGAGGAAGATCAACATTTGTATTAACTGAAACATGTGGATTCCTCAGTACTTGTGTATGTTGAGAATAAAAAAAATAATACCGAATATAGGGATATAGGATAACACGGAAAATGATTATACAACACTGAAGGTATTGTGTGAATAGTCACACTGAACACAAGAGAGAAAAATAAGGAATAAGAGATTCTGGAACACAGTTCATTAGCCTATATTCACTTTAGGCTGCTTGAAATGTTCTTAACACACGTAAAAATGACGGAAAGATGTTGAATGAAGGTCGTAGTGGAGAGTGTACGTGACAAAAGCGGACCTCAGCGAACACTTGCAATTCGCCGAAACTGGACAATAATACGCATTAGGTGACCTCGGGACTAGGTGGTTTAACTAAAGCTGGTGCACAGAAGAAAGATTTCTTGACCCGGTCCCTCGGCAAAGTAATGACAGGAGAAATAAAATAGGAGAAGGATTCAGGTAGCTAGACGCAGGCAGCTGGATATTGTTGTGGCTGACTGGTGGTAAAGCGTGACGTCACGGCTGGTTCGTTGGTTCCCCCCTCAGATCAAACAGCTCTGTGGGTGAACACCACACAAAAACCACAAAATACTACAGTTTTTTCTCTCTCTCATCTGGGTTGGCTTGCAGGAATAATCTCACACCTAGAGAGGCTGAGACAGCTGGAATGCTTGTAAACGATTACACAGACGTTAAAGCAGGCAGACTGTCTGGCTTGGCGGACTAAGATTGCAAAACTTGGATCAACTCCGTAAGCCAACTCCTTTAAGCCATAAATACACTAAGCATACACACCAGAAGCACGGCAGAGGTGTGCATAGAATGGTAGTGGTAATTCCACCGGCGTACTGAGTAACACTCCACAGGCAGGTAAATGAAATTCAGATGAACACCGCTGCTACCATTTGTCGTGGAGGGTCTCAAGTGGAGTGATGGTGAATGATAACTCACTGAGACAGTTATACAGAATATATTGGGAATATATAAGTAGGAAGCCCAACCTGCAGCCTGACTGCCTGAGGGTACGTGTCTGACTGACTGCGCCCTCACAGAGGAAGAGTCATAGCTGTTCAAACTCTGCTCACCCGACAGTATTTGAAGTCCATGGCATCACGGCTAGATGTTTGAAACATAGTGACAACAATGACTGTTGTGGGTTATGTTAAGATGTTTGTTGTGGGTTATGTTATGATGACTGTTGTAGGCTATGTTAAAATGACACTTAGGTTACCATGACTGATATGGGTGAATTTCTGCGTAACAAATGCTGTTTGTTGTCAAGATTTTTGTTTTGGGTATACACACACGCACACACACACACACACACACACACACACACACACACCACACACACACACACACACACACACACACACACACACACACACACACACACACACACACACACACATAGAGCGATGGTTGACACACTGGCTGCAGTGGCCAGAAGAGCTCATGCATGCAGGGCAAAGCTCCTGATCATGGGTGACTTTAACCACAAGGAGATCGATTGGGAGAACTTGGAGCCACATGGGGGCCAAAATGCATGGACGGCTAAGATGATGGAGGTGGTACTGGAAAACTTCATGTACCAACACGTAAGGGACACTACAAGAGAGAGAGGAGAAGATGAACCAGCAAGACTGGACTTAGTATTCACCTTGAGTAGTGCAGATATTGATGACATCACATATGAAAGACCCCTTGGGGCCAGCGATCATGTGGTTTTAAGCTTCGAATACACAGTAGAGCTACAAGTGGAGGGGGAAGCAGGAAGTCCAGGACGGATGAAGTCAAGTTACGAGAGAGGGGACTACACGGGAATGAGGAACTTCCTGCACGGGGTTCAGTGGGACAGAGAACTGGCAGGGAAGCCAGTTAGTGAGATGATGGAATATGTAGTAACAATGTGCAAGGAGACTGAGGAGAGGTTTGTACCCAAGGGTAACAGGAATAATGAAAAAGCCAGGACGAGCCCATGGTTCACCCAAAGGTGCAGGGAGGCAAAACCAAATGTGCTAGGGAATGGAAGAAATATAGAAGGCAAAGGACCCAGGAGAATAAGGAGAGCAGTCGTAGAACCAGAAATGAATATGCACATATAAGAAGGGAGGCCCAACGACATTATGAAAACAACATAGCAGCGAAAGCCAAATCTGACCCGAAACTGTTATACAGCCACATCAGGAGGAAAACAACAGTCAAGGACCAGGTAATCTGGCTAAGGAAGGAAGGAGGAGAGACAACAAGAAATAACCGTGAAGTATGTGAGGAACTCAACAAGAGATTCAAAGAAGTGTTCACAGAGGAGACAGAAGGGGCTCCAGAAAGACGGAGAGGTGGGGCACACCACCAAGTGCTGGACACAGTACACACAAGCGAGGAAGAAGTGAAGAGGCTTCTGAGTGAGCTAGATACCTCAAAGGCAATGGGGCCGGGGTACACATAGCACAGAGGCGCTATGTGTACCCCTAACAACAATATTCAATTCATCTATCGAAACAGAGAGATTGCCTGAGGCATGGAAGACAGCAAATGTAGTCCCAATCTTTAAAAGAGGAGACAGACATGAAGCACTAAACTACAGACCAGTGTCACTGACATGCATAGTATGCAAAGTCATGGAGAAGATTATCAGGAGAAGAGTGGTGGAGCACCTAGAAAGGAATGATCTCATCAACAGCAGCCAACATGGTTTCAGGTACGGGAAATTCTGTCACAAACCTACTGGAGTTCTATGACATGGTGACAGCAGTAAGACAAGAGAGAGAGAGAGAGAGAGATGGGTGGATTGCATTTTCTTGGACTGCAAGAAGGCGTTTGACACAGTTCCACACAAGAGATTAGTGCAAAAACTGGAGGATCAAGCAGGGATAACAGGGAAGGCACTACAATGGATCAGGGAATACTTGTCAGGAAGACAGCAACGAGTCATGGTACGTGGCGAGGTGTCAGGGTGGGCACCTGTGACCAGCGGGGTCCCACAGGGGTCAGTCCTAGGACCAGTGCTGTTTCTGGTATTTGTGAAAGACATGACGGAAGGAATAGACTCCGAAGTGTTCCTGTTTGCAGATGACGTGAAGTTGATGAGAAGAATTCATTCGATCGAAGACCAGGCAGAACTACAAAGGGATCTGGACAGGCTGCAGACCTGGTCCAGCAACTGGCTCCTGGAGTTCAATCCCACCAAATGCAAAGTCATGAGGATTGGGGAAGGGCAAAGAAGACCGCAGACGGAGTACAGTCTAGGGGGCCAGAGACTACAAACATCACTCAAGGAAAAAGATCTTGGGGTGAGTATAACACCAGGCACGTCTCCTGAAGCGCACATCAACCAAATAACTTCCGCAGCATATGGGCGCCTGGCAAACCTCAGAACAGCATTCCGACATCTTAATAAGGAATCGTTCAGGACCCTGTACACCGTGTACGTTAGGCCCATATTAGAGTATGCGGCACCAGTTTGGAACCCACACCTAGCCAAGCACGTAAAGAAACTAGAGAAAGTGCAAAAGTTTGCAACAAGACTAGTCCCAGAGTTAAGAGGTATGTCCTATGAGGAGAGGTTAAGGGAAATCTACCTGACGACACTGGAGGACAGGAGAGATAGGGGGGACATGATAACGACTTACAAAATACTGAGAGGAATTGACAAAGTGGACAAAGACAGGATGTTCCAGAGATGGGACACAACAACAAGGGGACACAGTTGGAAGTTGAAGACACAGATGAATCACAGGGATGTTAGGAAGTATTTCTTCAGCCACAGAGTAGTCAGTAAGTGGAATAGTTTGGGAAGCGATGTAGTGGAGGCAGGATCCATACATAGCTTTAAGCAGAGGTACGATAAAGCTCATGGTTCAGGGAGAGTGACCTAGTAGCGACCAGTGAAGAGGCGGGGCCAGGAGCTTGGACTCGACCCCTGCAACCTCAACTAGGTGAGTACAACTAGGTGAGTACACATCAGGACTCGAACGATTTAGCTAATAAATCATCTGCTAAATTATACTAAGTAATAAAGCAATATTTTAATGACAATTATATTTAATACAAAATATCTTATAAATCCATCACTTAGGAATTAGGGAAAATATTGGGAAAGTAAGACGTATCTATCCTGAGTCACACTATATAAACTCTAAGTCAGTTCAATATCACATATTCTCTTGTTTTATGTCCTGATGCTATTCAACATTTTTAATCATTTTCCTAATCTTCGATGTTACTCATGCAATAACTTATATCATTCCATACATTTTCTGTCTACTATTTTCGCACTTATTTTTTTTATATTGCTTCACTTTCACTAACGATCATCACGTTTATAATCTGGTCATATCTACGTTTTTGACAAATAATTATTGATGTATAAATAAATGCATTGTGCACCAGATTATTACAGGCATTCACTGGTGCCTAGAACCGCAGCTGTAACCAAGGAAAACTTAACAAAGTAAATAGTGTAATTTGTTTTATGATGGTGTTATCCTTGTTGTTTATTTATCTTGGGTGGTGTTGCACAACAGCACTGCCAGAAGAAGACCCAAGCATCAGAGGTGCTGGCTTCACTCACCAGCTGCACGAAGACGTGATGCTTAACTGTTCTTCTCCACGGTCCCAGCCTCCAGCTTCTCTTACGTTCTACGTCAACCAGGAACTGGTAATTAAACTCTAATTACAGACTTCAAAGAAAGAAGACTCATGTTTATGATAGGAAGTATCTATTTAGTTGTAGAGTGGTAAAAAATTGAAAGCTGTTGGATGAATAAATGGTGGAAGTAAGTGGACACTTAAGTCTGCACATACCTAGGCACGTTTCCTTTCACCTGTTGCAGATGTTCTTGAAGGCACGTGTCCTCACACCTTTTGTCGATAATTACCAGGCACGTCTTACATTCTTTGACAGTGTTTTGCTGGGCACGTGTTCTCATAGCTGTTGCTGTTCCTTACTTAGCAGTGAATTGTTACCTGAGTGTTAACAGACTGTTTTGATTGCATTCTGGGAGGTGGTAGTGGTAATATTGTACATTAAAAGAGGATAACCTTTGAAAGGAGGTGAAGTAAGGCAACACCTCTGACGGTGTAAAAATCATTATATATTATCCAAATAATGTGTGATAAAAACATAGGCACCAAAATAACTAGTCACGCCTATAAAAATAATGTTCGTGTATCATTATAGGGACAAAGACCCCACCTCGAGATATAATACATGTTAATGGACATCGAATAATAACTTATAAGCTAGTTCTTCCAAGTTGTTGTACATTATTCTACAAACATTGACAGATCTTCCAACATATAAAGAAACTAGTTCTGTTATTACTGGTAGATCATATACTTGGTAGGATCCAGTTACTCCGTTACTAGTTTCCTCTCTCAACAATGATGAATCTTGTAGTGACTACGAACGACATCGAAGAAACTCAGAAGTTATTTGTTGCAACGTTGGGGATATTATAATTCTTGACTCAAGATAATAACTGATTTATTTCAATACATTCAATTGTCCAATTAAAGATATATATCTTGTTTACCTTCGTCTTGTGAAAGCTGGAAGACGTCTACATGATGCCCCCGAAAATTCTTTCTTTCAATAGAACGTTAAATATCATTAGGTATCCCAGTTAAGGATTTGTCAGTGCCTTATCATATAAGTATCAAACCTTCAACCCAGATGTATCTTATACAGAGGAAGCTTAGGATCGCTCGGCAGTGGGTAGGTAGGTGCCAGTGGGTAGGTAGGTGCCAGTGGGTAGGTAGGTGCCAGTGGGTAGGTAGGTGCCAGTGTGTGCTTTCTATGGGTATGTAAAGTTTAAGTTTCTAAAAAATTATCAAATTCAATTAATATTCATGTTGCGTTATAAAAAAATTCAAATACAATATAAATAAGAAAAAAGAGAAATATAAGATACACGAGTTTAGTGATCCCTTAAATATCATTTTCCTTCGGATTTATTCAAGTTTATTCAAGACTCAGGTTCTGCGTTCGTTTCATCCTCCTAAATTATTGTTTATAACTTAAAAACGCTTCATCCAATCATATTTAAATTTTTAGTGCCGGGGAAGTTATAGCTTGGGAAGAAAGCATTAAACTATTAGCAAGTGCAAATGTCCTATAGTAAATTTTTATGTAGACTATTTCCGATTTTGTTAAGAGTGCGATAAGCTGATTGGATTTCAGCTTGACACTGCTGTGTCCAACTTAGTAGATATTTGAATTGTTGTTGGAGGAAAGTGTAGGTGTTAAGTTTGAGTCTGCCTCTGCATAGTGGTATCAGTCACTGATACCTTACGCACCTTATAAAAATGATGGTATCATTGGGTTTTGGCTGTTTTTGTAACGCAGTTAATAAACTTTGAGATACTGTATTCTCTGTAATAACTGAAGAATGTATCTTCTTGTTGGCTTCAGACTTTTAACTTTAGAGTAATTTTTTCCATTGAACTTCTTTCCGTTGTTTTTGGGTTGGGCCACTTTTAATTTACCAGTTATATTGAAAAAAAAATTAGTGCGATAACTGGAGAATGACTTGTGATCAGTTTCGGGTTTTAATGCTGGTGCAGCTTACTTACAGAAAGATTTGGATTTATAATGGACTTTTATTGAAGAACTTAAAATACTGGTTTTCATGTGATAATTTGTGAATGCCTTATCCAGTTGACTTCAAACCTTCATCACTGATAACTTGAGAATGTAACTTCTGAACAACCCAAAATTCTGAAGCTGCTGTATGCTGGGAGACTGGTAGTTGTAAGGACACAATAGCATTTCTCGTCTAATTGACATTTAAGCTTTCAAAGCTGGTGTATCCTGGTAGGAAGGTCATATTGGTTATGTAGGTGTTAATTTGCCAGTTTTGTTAAGGATATTAGAATATTTTCATGCAATAACTTGTAGATGCCTCTTCGGATTGACCCCAGATCTTTAATTCTGAAATTATCTGTATCTGACATTTATGCCTCACTCTGCACTATTTTTTTATGTAAAGTGAAGTCTAGGGGGCTGGGCTTAGTAAGATACTCCACAAACAAACCACATCTAGTTTTATAATGTAATGAGAGAGGTAAGGTAGGGGAGCCCAACTTGTGCAAGTAGTGAGTAACGTGAACACATACACAGAGTAGCCAGGTAGCAATCCATTATCTGTACCTCAACACAATCGTGCATTGGTTCTGAAAAATAATTATTATATTAATTCCACTTCCTCACTCGAATTTCAGGGCATTGTTAAAGTGTGATGTCTCACCTTACTATAAGGCATCTTGTGGACTTGAACCTTGGTTTGTTAATATCATCCAGCATCAACAATTATGTACCTCTAATGTGTATAGGTATAGGTTCGGGGACGCCAGTTGGCTAACTTTCCAAACACGACTAATATTTATAAAAGGCTATCAGTAAGCCTCTTTGCAAAAGCCAAGAGCTCCTCATAAACTCTTGGGCCTGATCGAATCTCTTCAGAACATTTAGTGAACCAGTATTAACACAGTTCAAAATTTAACATGTGCAATTCTCGTTGGAACAACTTGCTGTAAAATCAGACGAATGTTCTATTTAAACCTGAGTTTTGATTACCATTCTAGCTTTGATCTTACCCACAGGAAACAATTTTCGCATTATAGGTAGCTTAACAAAGGCTAATTAATTATTAATGAATTATATTTTTGGTCATCAGTTTGTTTACCTCATAATCTAACATTTATACCCGCTTCATTCTATGTTAAGAATCTACAAGCTTGACTATGAGTTGCTCAGAAATAAGCTGAATATTCTGTAGTTTGTTTTGTAGTGACAATGACGTTAATAAACTATATCTCATTTGTATGTATAGACTCCTTTATTGAGTGTATAAACCCTTCAGTCTTCCTGCAAAGAGAAATAATAATTTTGTATCATCAAGTCTTAGTAAATTTAACTTTAACATTTACACACTTTTAATTTTTATTTCCGATTCCTCAGCTTTTTACCATGCAATAATTCGTCTCTCTGCTCCGTCAGGCAGACCCGAGCTGGTTGATTACTTACCCGCCCCTGGAAGACCCAGAGACAGGTCTGGAGACCGCGATACTAGGTCTGCGCTTTCCTCTACGGCCAAGACTGCTGCGCCGAGGCAGCATCTCCATCAAGTGCACAGCATCCATCTTCAACCTCTACTTTAAGAGCACCGAGGCCTCAGTCCACGCTGACGTGCCTTTCCACGCCTCTATCATGGTGGACCGAGCAGCCACAGGCCTAGGTGGGTGGTCAGACTTGGCCTAGATTGCACCTAGTACTTTAGATTAGACTAAGTTCTCTAAGGCCAACTGTTATAAGTAGGACTGTTAGTAGAGCTTGGGCATGTTAGAATAAAGTTATCTGACTTAATATAAGCCTCGATAAACTAGAAAAAGGACAAGTTGGGCAGTGGGTAGCATGAGCTATTGGTAGCATGAGCTACTGGTAGCATGAGCTACTGGTAGGCTCACCATAGTTTCACCTCATGACAACAACCATTTTCTAGTGTGATCGGTGGTCGGGTATTAGATAACAATATCTAATGCAAGTTGAACACCATAGGCTTTTGTGTATTATATTGCTGATGAAAATTATTTCAGTACCAACATTGAAGAATCAGAAGACAAATTTCACTTGTTTTCTTTCATCCTTCCAGGAGTTCCAGGGATAACCTCCAATGTGTTTTTTTTAGTGGTTTCGTGTCTGCTTCTCTTGCTACTTACACATTAGGGATTTTAACTGCCAGCCATTTGTTACTCAGTGGCGTGGAGCCGCTGGGAAATTAGTGCGTGTTTGCTAGACTCCACATGACAACATATGCAAGTGGCCTAAGGTGCAGTAGATGAACGAACATCGAAGTGTTTACGGGGCAGACGATACCAGTGTTTTGTGATTTCTATATAGGACTTTGAAAGCAAATTCATACACTTACATATATATAAAAACATTCAACAGTATTTCCCGGAGTCCATCGTCAGAGAAGTGTTAGCCTATTTTCTATACTTTATGTTTGTTCTTACTCTCTATATTATCATCAAGATGAATTAAATGAAGTTATTGTGACTATTATACACATATATTCAAGTAATATTTTCCACATCTAGTAAGAGATCTTCCTGTTGTGTATCATGTTAAACATCCCGCTGGTGTTTCTGAATGACATAACAAGACGGAGTAGCCGCACAACCTTGGCTGGAACAATTCACAGCTAAGCCACTTCAGTAAGAGAAAATTATAGACAGCGTTTTGATCACTCCTGACTCAGGATGAACTGAAACACTGTTTTTTATATTCTCTCTATATTATGGGTTAGTTGTGTATAACGACGAGTGGATTCCCTGAAAACACAGACTCTTCTGGCCTGCTCAGTGTCCATCTACAATGTCTAGATGCTGATGGTTCATTCTACAGTATTTACGCATAATATTTTTCTCGAAAACGTTCTTCCCCCATTTTGATATATTGTAATGTAAGTTAAATGAGTGTAACATATTTTCTTTTCGTTTCATTTATATCCTTCACATGCTTCCTATTTTACTGAAATATCGATAAAATTAATAATAATGTTTAATATTCATCAGTAATTATGCAATGTTTAATACTACAAAGTATCTCAGCCGTCCAGCCGCCGTGGAGAGAAGACGTCGTCGTTCCTGCTTTCAGTTATCCTGAGTAATTCTCGAGCAGAGCAACTCTGACACTCTTACTCGAGATTTTTCTTGGGTTATCCTGAGTTGATCTTGACCAGAGCTGAGAGGAAATTGCTGGCGTCACTTCGGGGCCCCATCCATCAAGAGGGCAAGACGGTGACTTGCTTGGCTTGTTCACCCCTCTCTTCCCATTCCCCATCCTTCCCCATCCTCCTCTCACACAAACTACAACTGGTCCACACCTAAACATACTACATAAATTGCTATCTTTTGACTTTCCTATCTTCTTTTTCGGCAACTTGCCTGTGGCGAGTTAACACAGGCTTTTGTGTACCATGCGTTTAGCCCGTGTGGTTTTTTAAAATCCGGCCGATCTTGCTTGGGCCCTGTGTCCCCTCACCACTCGAGGGTAGGCTATCTTTAGGGGCTGACCTTCGTAGTCAGCTGAAAAAGGATGTTAGACTAACACTAAGGAAAGATCCTTTTTGTCAAAGCAACTTATGTGCCAAATGTACCTTCCTGGACATCAGGGTGCTAATAAGATAAGATTAGTGTGGATGATAACCTAAAGACGAGGAAAGAAATTCTTAGCATGTATTTGCTCGAATTCAAACTTTGCTCCAGTGGATGTTTTTAAACTCTCGCTGGGGTAGTACTTCTCTCTCTTCTGAAGAAGAGTACTTCAACTACTTAAGCAAGAAGTTCTGAAAAATTGAAGACTTTTGGTGTTTTCAGTTGCACCCGAAGCCTACCCAAGCCCAGAGAACGCGTTTGTTGTTAGAATTATCAGTTTCTGCGAGATAGCTCAGTGAATGAATTGTTGATGACTTAAATAGGAGAATTCTGAATGTTAAGGCTGTCCAAGCACATAAATTCTCTAAACCTAACAACTACAGGTACCATTAAAGTTAATTACTTGAGACACCTGAAGCGGCCAAACTAGTGTGTCAAAATGGCTTCAAATGTTTTGGCACCAGATGTACACTGACCAATCTCTCTTGAACGTTTTGGGTCAGTGTTACACAATGTTTTAAATGTTATGCCGTTGGTCATGCCGCCATCAATGCGTACTCAAGCCAGATTTGCAGCATTTACTCTGGCCAACATTCTTCTAGAGATTCTAATAACAAAACAAGCCCAAGTGCGTCCTCTGCAATGGAAACACCTCTGTTTTGGCTATCTGTCCTGAGAGGAAAAAGGTAATGCAGAAAATTCTTAGAACCCTAAGAAACTGTCACTTCTATGAAGACCACTCCCAGGCACCTCCAACAATGTCCCAAACTTTTTCAGCTCTCCCTGGATCTAGTGTGACTCTCAGGTCTCTTCCGCTGGTTCCAATGTTTGGAATTCTGCCCCTCTTGGAGTGCCCCAATCTAACCCTCACTACAGCATACACAAACGCAACAAAACAGGTTCAGCTACCTCCCATGTCTCAGGTATCCTCAGCCGGGGAATATAAACTGAGAGCACCAACATAATGTATATGATGCCAAAGACATAGCAGGTGCTGACATTCAATTTTGCTCTAAGGTTTTAAATGATTTGTTAATGGCTAATGGATCCTCCATTTACATCCCAGATAATGTTAAGGGATTATGGCCAGCCTTCTCATAACAAGAAGTGTGTTCCCACTACTTCTACAAATAAGTCTAATTCATCCCTTGTCAGGGATCACCCACCTCGCATACCAAGTTGTCAAACTCCCTCAACCCGATGAGTCAAAAACCTGACCTAACGATGCCCCAGAGATTGGAGCTCCCCTCTTCCGCTTTTGCAGCTGATCCTGTTGAAGAGGAACTTTCCAGGGTAAATTCACCTGGCCCTACCAAATTTTCCCTTGGGAAAGCATCCACAGTCCCCATTAACTCTCCGACCTCTGTTCCTGAAACTGGGAATTCACACCTCAGTTTCTGATGATGTCTAATGACTCTAATGATTCTGTTATATTACCAGTTCTAGGAAGATGGTGACACTTTTAATACACAAGCATACTCAGAACTTCCCCCCTCCCTTGTACGAGTCCAGCAGGGATAGTGAGTATACCAAACAAGACATTACTTGCAGACGTTATCCGCAGTATACGTCCGAAGTGCAAGAAATAATGGAGATTACAATGTCCAACTTAATTTTCACCGTTTCTTTTAAATACCGTACCTTCCTTAAAGTTGAACTTACATAATTACAATACCGAATGTTATACTCTTGAATGAGGACAGCTGCAAGAGTTGATCAGATATTAATTCACGTGGTTACTCTACTGTGGAAAAATCGAGAGACCCTATGTGGCGTGCATCTTAGGTTAAATTAGGCTATTCATTTAAAATATTCATGTTGATGAAGATAACATTCTTCCCAATAGAATTGACGACGTCTATGGACAACTAGTGATAGGAACTGGAATTTTCCCCGAGACAACAATTATATAGAGTCAATTCCTCTACATAGGATTTTAAGCAGAAATATTCAAACCCAATTCTTGCGGGGAATTTTAATGCCTCATCACCCTGCCCTCTTTAACTGTGGAGCTGGTATTCCACTGGGTGACTTGAAAGGAAAACAACTATTTAATATTGTGGCATGCATAAGAGTACGTAACCTTTTATTCGGGCATGGACACACCCATCATTTACAGGCTATCTCCCCAACCAGCGAACCAGGTTGCTAAGAGTTGGTGATGGGGCCCCATCGTTTAACTAGTGACCAGGTTCTAGCCAATAAGAAGGTGGGATTGGCAATCGCAGAGGTTATGTGGATACCGCTCTCCTGTCTGCCCTTGTCATTCCCATTCTAGAGCTGGTTGAGCACGGTCTGCTATCTTGTGGCTTCTATTTCTGCCTTGCTTACCGTGACGTGCACTATACTTATTACTGTACATAGTGTACATATTGCTGTTCTAAATTGGTGAAGGATAATATAAGTCTAAACTTTTTCTGCTGTGTTTCTTTTGCTCCCATTACACCTGGGATAACAGGCCTTTGAAATCCTAGGTTGTAATAAATATCATGACAGCCAGAAACTTGTCATTTCAAGGCCCATTCTTTAAATCGTATATTGGAAATCATCCAGGGACACCAGATGTAGTCCTGACAAACAGAGACTGTGACATCTTTCACTGTCGTATATCTCCTGGTGGACATGTAGGATCTGACCATATCCCTGTTATAATAAAACTACAAACTTCTCCATTTAGAATACCTGTAACTCCTAAACCCAATCTTAACACCCTAGGATTTGACCCCTTCAGGGCATATCTGGGTGAGGATGAAATTGTGTCGTTGGAAAATCTACCTTCCACTGCAATTGACGACGCGATCAGGTCCCTTCACAATCGAATAATTGAAGCTACTAATGCAACTTGCCAATTAGCTTCCACAAAGATTTACCAACAATATAAACCTACTAGGGAAATTAGAAACGCTTTAAGAAATTATCAAGCAGAATGTCGAAGGCATCTTCAAACACGACAACCACCAGCAGCTACATTGAATAGATTGAGGCAAGAATTAATTAACATGATTAGTCATCACAAACGTGACTTATGGAAATTTCTAGTTCTCCAAGCTAATCAGTATAAACGTGAACCAGCAAAATTTTGGAGTAAGATCCGACAACTTTTAGGGGCAAAGCACAGGGCTCCTAACTACCTAGTTCATACCTTCACTGATGAGGATGATGAAGATGTTGAAATTAAACTTGACGATCCACAGGACCAGGCTAATTTGATGGGTGATGTATGGGAGAAAATTCTCTCCCACAATAACAGTCGTCAATTTAACAATAATCACTATCAGTTGGTAAATGAATGGAGAGATGAGAACTTAGATGATCTACAACCACTACCTTCCATCGATACTTCAACTCTTGAAGACGCCCACCCGCTTACCACACCTATTACATTACTTGAGATGAGTCAGGTTATTGGAAGAATGAGAAATAGAGCCCCTGGTCTCTCTGGAATAACAATGAAGCAAATAAAGTTCCTACCCAGAAATTGTAAACAGTCTTTGGTTAATATCTTTAATGCCATCTTGGCCTCAGGACATTTTCCAGCTGTTTTTAAGACTGCTAAGATGATCTTTCTTGGTAAGCCCAATAAAGACATCCATCAACCAGGGAACTATAGACCTATATCTTTACTTGAAGTCACTGGAAAAGCTCTTGAGAAGATCATTTTTAACAGACTGAATTACTATATGGAGTTTAATCACCTTTTCACTGAAAAATAGTTTGGCTTTAGAATACATAGAGGTACCCATCATGCAATAAATATTATTTTCGATACTGTAGCAAGTCTTAAACATCAGGGCAATCTTGCCCTAATTGCCACCAGAGATGTTCATAAAGCATTTGATAGCTTATGCCATGATGGTCTTATGTGCAAACTTATTGTGAGGGAAAAGTTCAACAGATAGGAGTAGCGAGCGAGTATATGGTAAGGATAGTTTGATTGCCGGCTGCTTGTTAAGGTAGGGTAAGTCTAGCTCCCTCTATCCCCCCCCCCTTTTTCCCCACCCCGAAAGGTGACGTGTGGGGCTCCGGCCAAACAGTAATCACTCGACTCACAGCTCCCAGCACAACTGTAAGTAAAAGCCTTTGCTCCTATTCTAGTGGATATTGGTTGAAAGCTTCACTTTTGACCAATAATAAACTTAGTCCTTTCAGTTTTAAGCTCCACATGAGACTTTTAAGATAATCACCACCTTTTTTAGGTATTGTACTTATCATGGAGAGTGATTTCTTAAGCAGTGGGTAACCTGTCTTTCTTTCCAGCTTGGAATGACAGATCGGGTCACCTGCCAACCAACGAGAAGTGTTGAAGGAGAAGGACTTTTG